TGCTGATTTCTACCAGCAAAGCTCTGCAATGGAAGGAGGACACATGATACTGCACAATGGAATTATATGTTTGTACCTCCTGCTCTGCCTGTCTGCAGTATAGAGACCAGTGAAATATACAAGCTTTACAACTTCTAAATCTTCAGAAAACGAAGCCTCATCTTTTCTTTAATCAAAACATATTAGGCAGCAAGAGGTAGGTGAGGAATACAGTTTGCATCTTCCAGCTACTACACATGTGCTCACAGAACATAAGAATCTAGTGAGTCTTGGTGACTAATGTAATTTATTGGTTTTGATGTTTCCCATATGCAAAATGTTTTTTAACTTGGTAAATTCACTCTGCTTCTGCAATCTGACATCAAGCTTTTGGGTCCACAGTTTCTCTCCACTCTACTGAACTAAACAAGCTAAAGACAGACAGTGCCCTGGTGAGAGCTGGGATGCTGGCAGGCAGCACCACAGGCAGCGCCAGGGCTTTGGCCAAAGTGGTGGGGCTTCTAGGAGCAGTCCGAGCCCCAGCTTTTGCTAGGACCCAGGCAGCCTCAGCAGCACAATAGTCAGAAGCTGTCACCACAGCCAGAGCTCAAGCAGTAGCCACAGTGAGGTGGGGCTTCCCATAGAGCAAAGGCAGGCAAAGTCCAGACTGCAAGCAAGATCTGGCCAGCAGTGGACTCCAGTTCCCAGCAGTCCCTGCCTGCATGCCTGGGGCCGATTTCAATGGAGACCCTAGCAGCAGGCGCGCTGTGATAGCATGGGGCCAGGGTTTCCAAGGAGACTGGCCCCTGTTGCACTGGCAGGCAGCAGCAGCACCAGCCTCTTCCTGGTGGAGGGGCTGAAGGGGACTGTACTGCGGGCAGGAGCAGGGCATGTTCAGCTGCCACCGTCTATGCAGGGAGGGCAGTGGCAGTGGCGCTGCTGGGAGGGATGACTACAGGGAATTTTGGGGTGGCTATAGCCCCAAGTCCCCCCCTAGCACCACTCCTGCTGGCAGGGTGGGGAGCTGCTCTGGAGCCAGGCTGAGATTTTGTGGCGGTGATAGTGTGGTCCGCAGCCAGGGCAGAGCCATGATTTGCAGCCTGCATGCCCCCGCTCCAGGGTAGAGTTTTGAAGGAGTGCTCCGACTCTAGAGAAGTTGAGAACCATTGCCCCAGAGCTTTTCTTTTTTGCAGTAGACTTGAATATGGTGAGAAGTTCAGGGATTTAACTCTGAGAAATCCCATTTCTGTGTAGTGAACATCAGGTTTGCTCTTCCCTTGGCATTCAGAAAGACAGGCCCACCTTTCCAGAACTGTCACTGATGATGTTTTGACCAGTACAGAAAGGGGCAAAAGCCCCAAACATGCCATCCAGACGACCATTCTTTTCCTTTGGTAGAATAAGGATTTAAGGGCTAGGAGCAACGGTAGCCTAGCTCCCTCCCTGTACAGCTCCAAACAAGTTCTCTCACAAAAAGAAGACTTCTGGGGCTTCATCTTGCTCACCTTGAACTTTTCCACCATAACTGTGGGGGGTGGGGAAAGGGAATATAAACAGCTCTTGGCAGACAGATCAATCTAGGTAATAAGGCCTTGGAATACTGGTTCTTTGGTGGAAAGGGATTGAACAGGAAAACAAATGGTCACTGGTGCCTCAAAATATTTAAAGGATAGAATGCTAATAACAAGGTAGGGGCTTTAAACTACCTCATTCTTTGGTCTGCGGAGTGCAGACAACCCCTGACGTTTGGGCACAAAACTGTACTGCAGCCAGTATTTGCAGGAAAAGAGGTATAGCCTAAACATCTCAGGCTGATGAAGTGACCAGGATTCAGAAAGACAGTCTACTGTCCTCTCATTTGGAAATGCATGGTCATCTGTGAGCAGCAGAAAGAAAAACTGAGCATACACAAAAATCATGTTTTTGTGTTTAAAATCTATTACAAATAGATTGCAGCAATTGGTTTCTAAACACCTGGATACCGATTCAAACTTTTCATGTTTTTAAGCCTAAAAGTATTTGACAGAATTCAAATTGTAATGGTATGTGCTTAAACTTGCTCTGCCTAACTTTTGAGTGCCTGCCTCAAGAGGGAAATTCAAAATAAGCCAGTTAGTTGCCTAGCATCTCCACCAGAGTCAGTGGAAAGATCTTAGAGATGCATGAGCTATTTAGGTTTAGGAATATAAGTCTTTACACAGGATAGAGAGCATTTCATGCTCTAAAGAATGGTTTATAAAACACTTAGGAGGTGGCCAATGGGAAATTCTAAAGCCCAGGTTTACTTCTGAACTCCTGTTCTTCTCAAGCTGTCCATTCAGCATTGCTGTTTACTTATGATACAAACCTAATCACATTTCTGAGGCAGCATACTGAGCTTCTGGGAACAAGTGATTCATGCTGTCTGGGTGGTTAGAGTATTTTCCTTGGACCTGGGAAACCTCCAACACACCATGAGGAACCCAGATATCCCATTTTCCAAGAGAGTGCCTTAACCATTAGACTACAGAATAGCCTAAGAGAGGCAATCTCCAGCCCTCCTGTTGAAGCTGGGCAGAGAAGAATGCAAGTCATGAAGCCAGAAGGAAAACTGACTAAAAAGGAACCTGCCTCTGTAGCTAAGGAATGAGAGCACCCATGGAGGCAGTGGAATCCTGGATTTTGGTTCCTATAGGATAATTTCCATTTTCTACTAATGACTGGCTAATGAAAAATGCACAAATAATGTATATTGTTTAATTCTGGAAAGAACCAAGAACTCTCATCTAGCATGCCCTAACTAGTAAGCTACAGACACAGGCTACCCTGCTTGCTCCCAATGCTGTTCAAGCATTTTATATTATGACAATCATTGGATAAAAAACAGAAATAATTCTGCTGGTAGAGACTAAACCCAGGACTTCCCTTGTTCCAGGGAGTGCTCTAATCACTAGGCTATAGAGGTCCAAGACCCTGGCGTTCCAGCCACAGTGAAACTCCACTGCTTCTTAAAAGCATGTATTTTTCCTCTTTGCCAATTACCCCACTCACAGACATTCCAATGGTTTTCAAAACCCCCAAAAGCCATTTCCTATCTAACATATATTATGTCAATTATTTTTTTATTTGAGGAAAACTGCACGGACACAAAAGCTATCAGTGCCGATCATTCACAAAACAGAGGAACTATAAAACAAGGCACTTCTTTCCATGGTTCTTGTGTATGTATGCTGCTCCAGCAAGAATCCCAGGCCCTACTGGCTTTAGAGAGAAGGGACTAGTGACCTTGTTTCCTGTAAGGCAGGGGTGTCAAATATATGGGCCAGCCTATGGAGCTGCTGCATCTGACCTGCTGGGTTACCAACAGGCCAGCAGAAGTTGAGGGCCATGACTTGGGGAAGGGGAGAAGGAATGGCCTGCCACAGAATCTGGGACCTTTGAGCTCAGGTAGACATGGTGATCAGTGGCGG